CTACCGTGGGGAAATACGGAGGCAGGTTCACGGGGTGCAGACGTCAACAGTTCTCGATGGCCTGGTTGGCTGTCATATTGACGTCATGACCGGACCTTGACATTCGGGCGTCTTTTTCACAACCGCTGATTTCCGTCCTCCACATGGTCCGTCATTAAGTTCCATGGCCGTGAATGTTTTAGCGTGTTGACTTCGGCTTCTTAGATACCAAAGGAAACACGTCCAGCTGATTCGGATGCCACCGGCGATATGACATTTGGCAAACACTTCTACAGCATTGGTAATTACTCTGGGCTTAAATGACTGACGGGCTTCTCACAAAACGAGCGTGTTCAAATGTTTGCCATTAATGATCTGCAGTGGCTGAGATTAAGTTTCAAAAATGACTACTGGACGTTGAGCAAAAATGAACGAATGCTGAATGTTGATATTGAGCCGTTGTTGTGCTCGTGCGTGTTACACTAACATGGCACGTTAAACTTTCGCCACCAAGTTCTGCAGTTAGCCAGAAATGGCATGATCGGGTGGCAGCGCAGCAAGGGGGAGGGCTCGGAGGGCTCGCACATCAAGGAGAAGGGCTCGGAGGGCTCGCACATCAAGGAGGAGGGCTCGGAGGACTCGCACAACAAGGAGGAGGGCTCGGAGGGCTCGCACATCAAGGAGGAGAGCTAGGAGGACTCGCACAGCAAGGAGGAGGGCTCGGAGGGCTCGCACAACAAGGAGGAGGGCTCGGAGGGCTCGCACATCAAGGAGGAGGGCTCGGAGGGCTCGCACAACAGGGAGGGGGGCTCGGAGGGCTCGCACAACAAGCGCCAATCGGCGTGAGCTCTGATCACAGACATCCATTCATTCAAAAGGTACGGATTAAATCGTTTAAGACACGTTGAAAACGTCCCTGGAATGCATAATCAGCATTGCCTTTTACCTGCCACAAAGCGTGAGGAAAGGAAGTGGATCCAGTCTGGCTTGTACGAACCTTTCAACCAGCCTGCCTACCTCGCGCAGCAGACGGATGGGCTACCTTGCAGCTAGCCTGCCTACGGTGCGTAGCAGACGGATGGGCATACCTTTCATACAGCCTGCCTACGTTTCGCAGCAGACGGATGGGCTCCCTTGCAGCTAGCCTGCCTACGGTGCGCAGCAGACGGATGGGCTTACCTTTCAGCCAGCCTGCCTACAGTGCGTAGCAGACGGATGAGCGTACCTCCCAGCTAGCCTGCCTACGGTGCGTAGCAGACGGATGGGCACATCTTTCAGCTAGCCTGCCTACGGTGCGTAGCAGACGGATCAGCTTGCGACTGTCGGTATCTGAGAGCGGACTCTGTCTGTTCGCTTTGGCTGAGATTTCAGCAGCTTACCGCGGTGGCAGGACTTGGGCCTCATTCCCCGCTTCTGTCTTTTTTATTCGAAGCACTTCATGCTGGGTATCAGGGCCGAGTTGATCAAGCATGCCGTTGGTGATGCTTTCTCTTTTGCGCTGGCCCCTTCTCACGTTTGAAAGCGCGTGTCGGACCTCGTGATGTGAGGAAGAAAAGCAGGTGCTGCTACAATTCCGCAACTGCCGTCACGCTATCCAGAATCTTATATTCTTGCAAGCAATGATCCCAAACTCATGCAGTGTTGAGCAACCAGAACCATACTTTTTTGAAAGCTATGCCATATTAATTGTTTGACATTGCACGAAAGCTGGCACATGCCACATTAATTTACATGGCACATGCATAATGGATTTACATGGCACATGGCACACGAATTTACATGCTACATGTCACATAAATTTATATGCACATGGCACATATCGTATGAATTTACATGGCATATGTCAAGATGCTTTGGCATGTTATAAATTGGTAAGTGTTTGGGTACAAGCTGTTTAATAAGGCTGGATTCCTTGCATTATTGCAACATCACTGTAGTTTTCCCTCACCAATTCGATTAACGTAGAAAGCGTTTGATTTGACAACCTTGAAAAGGCCGAAAAACACGGATCAAAACAGGGTCCAGGTCCCGACGACCGGCGTCGCAGCCACATCAGACCTGCAGACATCGTCAGAGGAGAAACAGGCAAGCATACTGACCGACGTGTGGCTCATTGTGTGCAGGCGGGCGCGATTCTCGTGCTCAAACCATGGATTTTGGGGCGTCCTTAAAGGTGATCACGTCAGATGTCAGCAACTGGAGCAGATGAGCGCGCGACGCCAACGGCCGGCGCTGACCGAGCGTGTGGTGCAGCCAAACGTGGCGGTTACGGCACCGAGGGGGCTCAAAGCTGTGCAACTAAGAGGCGCACCAGCAAACGGCTGGAGAACAGCTAATGCCACCTTTACCAAAGCTGAATGCGAATACGAAATGGTGTGGTCCAAACCGGTAGAGATTGGGCCACGAAAACTTGCACAAACGTGTAGTCTTACAGTCTGCAGTCCAGACACCACCTTGTGTCTTAAGGCGGCGTCTTTAGGCGTCTGGCTGACCCCACTAGCTTTTAGCTTTGAATCTTCATCTGCTAAATGATGGTAAGTGACAACTTACGCGTTCATTATTTTCAGTTCGTCCCATGTTAACGTTCCTGCCTTTTGCGCAAATCGTAAACGAATGTGAATGTGATGTGATCGAATTCAAACAAAATAAACATTCTTATATCACACCGCACGAGGCGTCTTACTGATACAGTGCTACAATGGTAAAAAAAATACAGATGGGCCTCTAAGCTGCTCCTCAATGGATGTCCAGCTGCTCACGTTCACAGCAGTAAGCACTCGATGAAATTGGCAAATCGCAAACCAGCTGTACGGCAGCTGACGGCAGATTGCACGGAGCGTCTTGCAAGAACCGGATGCCGACACCTTCACTGGACCTTAATACTACCATCGGCAGTGGCTGTGGATTGATGACTGATGTTGAGCAAACCGAACTCAGCGCAACCCTGCAACAGTCCCAAGCACACCACGCCAGACGGCTCACCCTGGTGGCCAGGTAATACAACCGGCCACGTTGGCAGCAGGATAACCGTGGTTTTGTCCCGGGCTTTTGCCCAACTTCCACCTCGCCGAAGTTAAGCTTAAGCTGGTGCGTGTTGAGTCCAGAGTTAGACACTCTCATGAGGCCCAACGATCTCGGTCACTCTGTGGTATTGATTGTGACGTCTTCGATAGGTTTACCGGTCCAGGTTTTAAATGCATTGCAAAGCTTCAGCCGCACATTTCGCCAGCGTGCACAGCTCTGGCTACAGCTCCAAGTCGAATTTCACTCAACAATGAAACATTGACATCAGCGAACTTAGAGGCTCGCAGATGACAAGATTGAATCAAATTATCCAAAGCAGCTGATGTTGGCAGAACGCCAGCTTCAGACATTCAGCCTTTGAGGCAGATTCAGCATTACACGATGAATACAAATTCGTTAACACCCAGTGCATACAGCAATGATCTCTTGAAACGTGTGCATTATCTATTAAACTGAGTGCAATGACGACAAGCTGAAGAATCCCTCATTGCCCAACCTCTTCGTCGTCAGCTGGCTGCCTGGCCAAAACAGAACCGGTCCTTTGTCGTCGACCTGCTGGCACAGCTGGCTGGGCAGCGGACAGACACGGCTCTGATCTCGGGCGCAGAACAGACGGCGGAGAGGCAGCTCAGCCGTATCAACTGCCAGGAAATTTACGTCAGCGAAACATGACGACAGACGAGTGTAGGCTACCACTGCGCCGCATCCAGCCTCCGTCAGCGTCGAAGGGCCCGATCAGCACCATCCTCCACAGTTGGGGATGAGGCGGTCGCGCGTACGCATAGGCCAGACTGCTGCTGCGGTCCTGCGCCGTCGAGCGCCTCGGCGGGCCGGCGAACCCGCCGCAGGTCAGTCACCGCCCGCCAGCCGTCGCCGGATCGATCCCGTTCAGCTGAGTGGCGTGTGACGTCATAGTGGGCCGAGGGGGCCGCTCCGCCCAGTCGGCGCGGCGCTGGCGGCGCCGCTCCCTCGGAACGTTCGGCGGGGTCCGGTCCACAAACCTGCCCCGAGCCGGGACCCGCCACCAGCCACGGCGCTGGGTGCAGGCTTGCGCCAAACTGCGCCGACTGCCAGGGGCGTGGGACGGCTGCTAAGCGGGGAGGGGTGGGGGGGGGGGGAGTGGTGAGGCGACCCCTTGCTGGGGTCACCTCACTCCCCATATCCACTCCCTGTCTACGTGTCAGTACGGAATCCGAACCTGCGAGCGCCGCCGGGACAGTATTGACGTTAATAGTTTGCCAGTTTATGCTTTATACGAGTTGATGCCACAAAAACTGTCGTCAGCCGTAACACCAGCGGGTAGTGTGATTCACGGTGGGGCGGATGGGCCACGCACCGCCGTTTCCGCACGTCTTTGATGGCCGCTGCTCAGACAGACCAGCACATACGGCTTAAGCAAAGCCGGACGACCTGGACAGGTCGCGCCAGCTGCGAGGCAAGCTGCGAACGCCGGTGACCCACGGAGGTCACAGGACGAGTCTCCCTTCTGCTAAGCTGCGCACGCCGGTGACCCACGGAGGTCACAGGACGAGTCTCCCTTCTGCTAAGCTGCGCACGCCGGCGACCCACGGAGGTCACAGGACGAGTCTCCCTTCTGCTAAGCTGCGCACGCCGGCGACCCACGGAGGTCACAGGACGAGTCTCCCTTCTGCTCTTTGAAGTTGCCGTATTCTCTGAACTCTGAGTGCAGTGCGGCCTTCGTAATGCGCCATGGAACTGACAACATCGGTCTGGCACGATGTGCAGTGAGGGGCGCTCTCTTGCAGGGGCCGCCTGCTCTCCATGTGTAGCGCCCGGCGGCCGGGATCACAACCGGCCCTCCCTGCCAGCGAAATGAACCGGTCGCGCTCCAGGCCACGGGCTGCCGATAGTTGCTCGAGCGCGCCGTCCAGCCCTGCACTGTGCAGCACTCTCACCGACTGCTTCTCCACGTGGCCGAACCCGGCTTTTTTCAGCGCTTCTCACCTCCGGCTTTCACGCGGTCAAATTTGTGTCTGTGCCATAATAAGACAGTTTATTATCAAACAAGGCGTCCCTACCAATAAATATTATGTTCAATAATCAATAGATGCATTCATCTCACCGCTACCAAATATTAACAATTGACCATAACGACCGGCAATGTCGGGCAAGCTAACGTGAGGGGCGCCAGCTGACGCGCAGACTGGGACCAACAGCAGGCGCGCTCGGAGGCTCTGGTAAGGGTGCGACAGCAGAAGGCGCCGCCGCCTGTGACCTGGGCTCGAGCACTTGTGACGCAAAGCGGCCTCTCACGCACGCTTTCATGCGCTCGACGAATCAAAGCGGACACCTCGCGGACATTTTGCACACACAGACCAGTTCACGAGTTCTGTTGATCGGACTGACACCGCTGAGGACATACTATCACAGTGATCTGGCGGCCGAGGCTGCGCCAACGGCCTGCGTTTGCCGGCGGGCAAACGGCAAACGGCAAACGGCGGCAGTTGCCATGGTGACCCGGGTGGTGAGCGGGACCACCGCCGGCCATCCACTCCCCGTAGATAACAGCATACAAGAAGGCGTACATGTGGCGCCCGCGGCGGCCGGCGAGGCCGGCCTCAGAAGCCCGAGTTGAGCTGCTGCTCGTACCGGCTGCAGAGGTAGATGGCCGCCTCTGTCATCTGTGCCAGGCACTTGCCGAGCCCGCTGAGGTGGACGCTGAACTGGGCGCGCACCAGCTCGCATGGGTCGTCGGTCGGCTCGCTCTCGTGGCCAGAGTCGCCGGACGAGCTAGCGTCCGAGGCCAGCGAGCAGAGCGAGTGGCTGCTCAGCATGGAGGGACGCCGCTGCAGGCCGGGCGCGCTGTCCGCCTCGGCGCCGCTGCCGCCGCGGCGCAGCTGTGCGCGCACCGACTTCAGCAGCCGGTACACGTCATACGCCTCCGACGACTGCAGCAGCGCCGGCACCAGCCTCTGCTTGTCCACGTCGTCCTGCACGCGCATGTCCATCAACCTGCGGAAGGAAAGAGGCCGGTCAGCAGAGGCGGTAAGCATGCTCTACGGCGTCTCCAAGCTAGTAGACGCGTGGACCCGCCTGCAGCCCGCCGCCGCCGGGCGGCGGCGTCATCAGCAGTGGCGCAACAGGCGCACAGCCGGGGCCGATTAGCCATGCAGCTGAGCCCGCTCGGCCCGAAGCTCGAGTTCTCAATGACATCTCGTGACCGAGCAAGGGTTGCGAGAAGCCCACCTCTGTGCCAGAGCCGGCGCAGAGGTGGGCTTCGCGGTATGTCGCAGCTTCAAGGCCAGCGTCGTGTCGTCTGGCGACCGGCCATCCGCAACACGATGTCGACGGGCCAACCAGCGTGTTTTTCTCTAGGCCGCCGTCCCCGCGGCGAGTCGTTGCCTAACCGTGTTGCAACGCGCCTAACCGTGCTGCAACGCGCCACTTAGCAACGTCTGATCCTCTGGCAAGGCTCCCTGTTTCGGTACTTGAACAGGGCTGCGCCAGCGGCTGGCTGTGACACGGTCGGTGAATTATACGGGGGGCGTGCCGCTGCTGTCTAATGTGACCTTGACACGCGGACCCTGCAGCGCTGGTGGCGGCGGACCAGCCGACCTGCGGCGCGAGGCTGGACCGTTCAGACCAGCAGCCGCGGCTGGGTCAGGGGTTCCTCCTGCGCCCGCAACTCGCCCCGGCATTCGGCCATGACCCAGTGCCGCCTGCTGACGCCGGTGATTGGCGCTGAGGGAACGGTCTGGCGACACACGTGGCGACGCTGCCCGACAGTAACGCACACCAGACCGGATCGGACCCGGCGAGCGGGCGAGCCGGCCGGGCCGTGCCGTCTCGTGGCTGGCCGACGGCCGCCATGTCCGTCCAGTGACCAACTGTCGACTGCCGGCTGACCCAGCGCGGCGCCCGTGACTCAGTGACGATACGGCGGCCAGCAGGAAGTGACAGCGAAGGAAGGCCACCGCGACAGCGCGCACACGGGGCCAGTCTGGTGGTTCGGGAGGGAAAGCAGACTGCAGTCAAAGGGAGAGCTGGACGTTGGGTAAGGTTGTGGCAGAGTGTTAAAGTAGGCCAAAGGATAAAGTTGGGCTAAAGTTCGGACGCATGGAAGGTTCGTGATAAGTGGCTGTGCTCTGCCACATCCAAGACAGCCAATCGTGCAGGGTTTATGAGATACCCGCATCCTATCCCAACGCATTGGAAGAGATGGGCCGTGATGAACATTCAAAAGTCAAATCAGCACAGAAACAAACTGAGGCAGCTACGACGGCGCACGGAGTACGCCGATGTTCTGCTGCTGCTGCTCTGCGTGACCTCTCACCAAAATCTACAAACAAAGCCCAGAAAAGCGCAGATGAGCCGGGCTCCGGCAAAGCGGCGCCGCGACACAGCAGGGCGTTCGACGGCGTCAAAGCCGAGGGTGACGTAGGTAGCACCTCCTATCGGCGTTCCGTAACGCGGCGAGAAGCCACGCGGGCTGCCCGTGCGTCCGCTGGCCACCCGCCAGCCCTCCTCCCCCTCCCCTCGAGGAGGGGGGAGTAGCTGGCAGCTGAAGAGCCGCGATCACGGCGGTAGCACGCGCTCGCGTCGTGTCTGACGATCGATGCGGCACGCCCTTTATGAGCCGCCCCGATTGGGGGCCCTCGGTCCGCACAAAGAGCCTGAGTCGCGCCGTCTTCACGCAGCGGTCGCAGCCATGGAGGCAACTTGAAGACAAGCCGCGTGACCGTGCGATCCGAATTTGTTCAGGCCGTAGTTTTCCGGCATTTTCAGTGATTTGGAGCTTTTTGGTGATTTGGATTCCACGTTAAAGGCAACGGAGCGGAGATGGTGAGGGGAAGCCTCCACGCCAGTTAAAGAGTTACAAATATCACTCCATGGCGCAGCGCCTCGGAGAATCTTGCGGAAATTCGGAGTTTTAGACATCGCTTGTGGTTCTCACGCGACTGTTCACAGGGATCCGGGCCGCACCAGCGCGGGGCGAGCCGTCGGGCGTCGGGCGTCAGTGCGCTCGATGAGTTGAGGCGAGGCAAAACCAGATGGCATTCAAGATAAGATCTAATGGCGCAATACATCCTGCTTCAGAAGCACTAAAGGCTACAGTTACGCTACACAAATTTCGACAGCATTGTAAGGAGGGGGAAGGAAACGACATCTGTTCTTGATATGCAGCAACATGCAGCGATATTGCGTCATCGGCAGACAGCCACGGGCGCGAGACAAACTGCCAGTACCGGTCACAGGGCCTGACTGGCTCACAGCCGCTGGAGCTGGCAAAGGGCGCTTGTTTTGACGCTGTGTCGTCCTTTTCTGATCTGGTTGTTGTGGCGAAAGCTGCCTTCAAACCAGTTCGGTGACGTCAGCTGATGATATCGCGCACGCCGAACGAGTTCACCCCGGCTGATTGCGAGAACCGCTTTTTGCGACCGGGTGGAAGCGGAGAAAGGGTTGCAAGCATTGTGGCAGGTCAAGAACAATACGCCCCAGACGTGCCACGCCCGACGGGCTCTGCGGAGAGACTTGGACGGCGCCTCGTCTGACAGGTGCCAGCCGGCAGAACAAACCTTACCAGGCGCGGCACAAAGAGACCACTCTGAGCCGGCACCAGGTGCGGCACCAAGAGACCACTCTGAGCCGGCACCAGGCGCGGCACAAAGAGACCACTCTGAGCCGGCACCAGGCGCGGCACAAAGAGACCACTCTGAGCCGGCACCAGGCGCGGCACAAAGAGACCACTCTGAACCGGCATCAGGCGCGACACCAAGAGACCACTCTGAGCCGGCACCAGGCGCGGCACCAAGAGACCACTCTGAGCCGGCACCAGGCGCGGCACAAAGAAACCACTCTGAGCCGGCACCAGGCGCGGCACAAAGAAACCACTCTGAGCCGGCACCAGGCGCGGCACCAAGAGACCACTCTGAGCCGGCGGCTCGATTCAAAGGCCGTCAGAAGCCGGGACTGTATCCGCTACCCGCCACATCAGCACCTTGCATCAGCCGTCCCCAACAGATCATGACATTTGTCATAGCCAGTGGGAGCAGCCTGTCTGAGGTCAGTTCGGGGGCCGAAGCAGCCGCGCCGCTGACAGCTGCGATGCGGCATTGGCATCTGCCGAGCCACGTGAACGGAGCTGCACGCTCTGCACGCCGCGCAATCCAGCAGGGGTTCTGGGTAGTCCCCTGCGCCCCCCCAACGTCCCCAACGCGGCTGGCCAGCAGTGGCCTGGGGTGGCCCGCCACTGGCCGGCAGCGGGCCGGTCGGTCGCGGGTTCAGAACCACTTCCTGGACATGCGCCGCCACTGACCAGACGCGTGATCACTTTGCCAGGCCCCAGTGACCTTGAGGGGTCACCGACATCTCCCGCCGCGCCCGTTGGAATGTCCAGTAGCATGTAACCCTGTGGGGATACCCAGATCCGCCTGCCGCCGCCGCCTGCCGTCCCCGGCACCGGCTGCGCCATCGCGCCACGCCTTCTCACCTGGAGGGCACCAAGATCGTGTCTTCCATGTTCTGCACGGCCCGGTCGAACTGCTGCATGCCGCACAGCAGCGAGTTCTGCGAGATGTCCGTCAGGTCCATGTCGGAGCCACCGATCTGCAGGCAGGGATGCCGTTACTCAGCCGCGCACCGACGTCTGACGAAACAGCGCTGCCACCGCCGCACCCGCGCCCGCGCCCGCTGACGAAACCCGCTTACACACCTCGGTCGGGCGTCGCGCTTCGAAACCGGCTCAATGCCAACCCCAGCAGGTAAACACTGGATTCCCGGCACACAGGAATTTCCCAACCGGGCCGCGGTCAGCACTGGACATTGGGCAAGGGCACACCGCATGGTCGGCGATTTTTATATTGATATTCATATTTACGCCGACCTATTTGCTTGAGGCTTGTGACGCGTACGGAGCGCTCCTGTTGTCGGGGCATTCAGTGATTTTGCGGTTGATGGACATATACAGTTGACGCGTTTGTGCGGGTTGAGAAAAGGCTCCAGCTCACATTAAGACTTCTCCAGCAGACGACCCAACCCCGGCGCCGGCCAATACATACCTGAGCTTGCCGCTTCAGCTTCTTCCTGTCGGGCCTGTCTGCCTGCTTCCCGTCGACTGAGTAAAAACGCTGAATCATCTGGTGCATACAAGTCACACAGGGCACTATTGTCACGTTCCAGGATCGGCCACTCCAGTACGCCCCCGTGCCACCACTGCCTGTACCGGTCTGCCGCCTGCCGCCGGCTGGCGCCGCTTATATCCCCTGACGTCACGGCCGGGGGCGGGGCATCGCTGGCGGTCGCTTCAAACGGCAGAGGCGGGCGGCGGCTCTGGACGACCGGCCGGCACGCGGGGACAGTGAACGTCGCGTGATCGGGGGGTGGTTGAGGGCTGGCGACCGCCTGGCTGTGCATCATCTCGGGGTGGGGGGGGGGGGGGGGGGGGGGCACCGCCCCGACGCTAGCGGCCGGTCCGCAGCGTGCGAAGGCCTGCCTGCCGTCTCAAATCGGAACGGGCCAATCCCAACTGGCTGGGAATCACGGACAACTTAAGTTCGGTGGCACATCTGGAGGTATGCCACCTCCACAATGCACTCTAGACATGCTGTCAACAAATCGATTCAAGCAATCATAGACCTGCACGGCTGGGTCGGAACGAGTCGTCAGCCAGCAAACACAGCGTGCGGGCGCTCGCGGGCTCAGGTGTACGCCCGGTGAGACGCGGACTGGGCATCAGGAAGACCCGTCTAGATGTTTGCTTCGAGCCTTTGAGCGAATGCATATGAACTTCTTGCGTTCTTCTGCCGAGGGGAAGCCAAATTCAGACTCATGACTCCTTGAAATAAATCAATTATTTAAGGCCCATACCAGCGGAGGACCCGATCAATGAGAAAAGAACTTCAGCAGCATCTTTTGCAGTGCCTGTAAGACGATTTTTGAAGCGTGGTGGTGCCCAATGGTAAGCAACGAGATGATAACAGACGTCGGTGTTATTGACTGGTTGATGATACTAAAACATGTGGAATGGAGCCCGTCACCTTTGGGAACCTAACACATTAACATCTAGGTCTTACAAGTGTGTGGTAATACTCATCTTTCATGAACTAAGCTAGCAGATATTCACTGACGTTACAGTGTTCGCCCACAAAACAAGCCGAACAGACAAACACGCATTGGTTGAAAATAAGCCAGTTTTGGCCCAGTGGGCCCGACGGGCGGAACCTTGCCATTTAACATACACAACCGATGAATATGGAACTGTTTAAGTTTTCAGCGACTGTGATCAAAGGTGCCCACAAAAAGCGCGCTTTTGGCTGAATAGTGATCGCGGTGAACTGTGCGATAATTCCGTGTAGCTTTCACGACCGCGTCTGTCTCCGTTTAGGCGACAGCTCTGATGTTTCGAGACCGGCCTCGAAAGCGGTGCCGCAGGTCGGATGTCGGTGGGTAGTGGCGTGCCCATGATACGGCCAGTGGTCAGATCGCCCAGTGCTCTGTACTCAGTACCCATGGCACGGCCAGTGGTCAGATCGCTCAGTGTTCTGTACTCAGTACCCATGGCACGGCCAGTGGTCAGATCGCCCAGTGTTCTGTACTCAGTGCCCATGGCACGGCCAGTGGTCAGATCGCTCAGTGTTCTGTACTCAGTGCCCATGGCACGGCCAGTGGTCAGATCGCTCAGTCCTCTGTTCTTTGTACGTTCACGCACACCATGCGGTCGGATTCACGCCTTTATCTTTCTTGACTGACAAGTTATAACACCAGTCTCGCTTAAGAACGCCTCCAAACCAGCGGATGGGCGCTGCGGCCCACAGCATCGCCGGTTTTGTCAGAGCGAGTGTCCGCCCTCTCCTCTCTAATGGATGGCGTTGTTCTGCTGAAGTCATACAGTAACGCCCTGGGCCTCCTGTTTGTGATCTGCCACCTTCTCGCTGGCGCGTTGGAGACTTGGGGTCACAAAATGTCGAAACAATCCTGGTACACCTCGGAGGCTGTCGGCTATAAACCGTCGACAGGCACACAACAAATAAGTGTGCAGAATAAGAACACAAGTTTTCTGGGTCGGTCAAGAAGTCCCACAAGGCATAACCTTCGTTGAATATTTTGCAAAGTGGTCTTGGCTGGTCGTTTCTGCAAACAGATGCTCGCTATTTAATTCACGAGACTTTGACGTTGATGTTCGCGACCGTCTCTGGCGAGCAAACCGGCATACATCAGTCAGAGTGTTTGTTGAAGTGTCACTAAAGCCATACTGTACGTTTCTATCCAGAGCCCACCGTAGCAACAAAGAGGCCTTCGTACCATGATCAGAGGCTGCATGGGAGACCGAATTTGCGCGCCCCTGGAAGCTTTTTGCACGTGGTGTTTGCCATGCAATACGTGTTGGATCATAATTGCCCATGCCCGTATCCGAAAACCTTGGTGACCCAGCCATTTGTCGTGGATGACGTAACTGCGCCGTTTTCGGGTACCGGGCGGACAGCCGTGGGGTATCGCAGCTTGTGGCGTAGCCTTGAGAGAGCTTTGTAGCCGAATGATAGGTAAGCTTTCTCTCTGTGGCCAAAGGGAAGGTGTTGGGGATAAATCTCAATCCTTCACGAGCGACATAACGGGGCAAGATCTGTGTGATAATAGTGGCACATGTTCTGAGGTTCAGTCGTAGCTTTTTAAAAGCATGAGGCAAAAGTACCCATCATTGCAGACGGTTAGGACGTTTTCGTAAGATATACGTGGGCTATGTTCTGGTTTAAAGACTATGATCTTTGTACATATGATATCCACCTTTTTCCACCCTACACAATGGTCATTTCCAACCAAACGTAAGGTTTCTATGCCCTTAGGATCGTTAGGTACTTTGTCGTTACTTACAAGCGATAGCTCAAGTCAACGCAAAACGAAAACCGCCCGACCAAACCAAAGGATTTGATCGCTTAACATGTCTATTAATGTCCGTTGCGTAACCACACCATGCCAGCAGTAGTGCACATCGCACTCACATGCCGTAAATATATAACATAGCTGCCGCTATTGAGGCGTCTCGCTGCGGGTATGCTAGGTGCTGCTTCAGTTGCCGTTGACGACCGGTGGGTGTTCATCGCCATGGTAGGCGCCGTCCCACAGGGCTCGGGGTCGTCACGCAACATGTTGACATGTCGACATGCTACCATGTCAACATGTCGCGCCATGCTGACAATGGCGTGCTCCGAAATGTTTGAGGCGAATATTCCGTGCCGTGCGCGCTGTGGAAAGAAGCATTTGACGCTGAAATGCATCACAGATTTGGGAGACGTCCCATCTAGAAAGTTGTAAGCTGTCGATACTCGGCCTGACTGACGACAATACCGTCGAGAGAGAATAATAGAAAATCTTCGTCAACGCTCAATTCCGCGCTACAAATAATGCTTCTTCCCTTGCGGTTGCGGCCATGGCTCCCGTCGCCACAATCGGGGTGAGTCTTCTGCTCTGACATCATTCCCCATGCCATTTGCCCCGGATACATCTGCGGATAAAAAATGCCGCGATATGAATATCTGCCCATCGCCGTGTCCTTCCACTTGCATAACAGGCACGACACAATTCAAGATAGCATGTGAAATACAGATATCGGAGGCGCTCATTTCAGCGGCCCACCACGAAGGTGACCGACATACCCACAAACGTCAGATGCCTCGTCTGCGGCGGTCGTTTTTACTCCGCAGAAAAACGCGAGTTCACGACCCGCCATCTGTTGCCGGGGGTATTCCTGCACGGTGGGGGGCACAAAAAGCTCGCGAGCCCGGTGCCACGCTGACGGAGCGGTTCCCTGAACTGGGCCGGACGCCTCGGCGTCGCCCCTCGTCGCCCCTGGCAACGGGCCGGGTGCCCGGGGCAGGAATGGCGGCAGCCCGGTCAGGCGGGCCGCCGGCGCCCGGTAACCACTGAAATACAAACGGAGGTGAGACCGGCCCGGTGACAGACGCGGGGAGGGGACGGGGGGGGGAGGGAGGGAGGGTCACACAAAGCAGCTCTGCTGGTGTGGCGGACCTCATATGTTAAACATGCATGCCGGATTCAAAGGCAGTCACGCTGGTAAGTTATTTACTGCAGTGACACGCAGCGGCGTGGTGGCATTCTTCACTGAAATATCATCCAGGATTCACCCTTCCCTCAGAGCAGGGCGTTTCATCAGTGATATATATATATATATATATATATATATATATATATATATATATATATATATATATATATATATATATATATAAGTTGGGTTATACATAAGGCGTGGGTTTGAAAATGTCAACAAATGTCAACAATGTTTGCCTCGTTTACTTTATCGTTTATTGATAAGCGCTTGCTAATCATTGATAGTTTTGCGTGACTTTTTAAAGCACAAAACATCATTTGTGGTGCACACCTTTTGTTCAACTTCGTTATTTGTCCCATCAATTGCGTATGCCTCAGCCGGAATGTCCCATCTCCTCGTCCCTATATTTGCTAGGAGAAATGGGCTCAGGCGAAGCTTCAACGGTTTGTGGACCCAGATTTTAATCCCGATTAGCACGGCAGAGCCTAACCGTCCGTGCCCCATCTGATGCAGACCCGTTAACGGTCTCATGCCATCTGAAATACAGCCGTCACGCCACGCACATGGCATATAAGGGAATTCCAAAATAACATCGGTTGGTCATAACTGTCTTGTATGTATTGCTTCGCGCATAATTGTTCAGTTGGTTTCGTTTAGATAGAACTGCAAGAAGCTTGATTGCTTTTTCGCCTAGAACAAATGGGGGGAGTGTGAGATGAGCTTGAATTGTAAAAACCTCACGAAAAAGATGAAACTGTGCATGCAGGTTAATAATGCAGGTTAATTTCACGACTCAACAAATTGTTGGCATCATCATGACTTTATCATGCATGACCGTACTTAACCATAAGTGTAACATATCAGAAAGTTATCGATCATCGGTAAACAAGGCTGAAAATATATCGCTAACGATACAAATATAAGTCTCTATCGATTTTCAACCCTAGAGTCACGTGACATCTGAGCCAACTTCTGCCGACAGCGATGACAACATGTAGAGTGCCGCCCCGGAACGATCGGGGCGCCGTCCTCCACCCGGCTCGGTCGGGTACGGGTCAGGCCGCAGCAACCCTTCACCGACAACGGAAATTTTAGAGGCATGCTCTACCTGCATTTGTGTGTACATACACATTCCAGGTGCACGCGGCTCCGTGTG